TGATATTATTGTCACGATGCTATAAAGCCTCCAGCCGAGTAGAGCAATGGATAGAGCGCACAGCTCACAATCGTAATTTCGCGAATTCATATCCTGGTCAGGGTGGACTCGGTCAACCATCCCTCCGTGATCAGTAAAATCAGTACCACGTCATGGGAAGGCAACATTGGGTTATTCTTTTGGATAAAAACCTCACCCTCGCCATAGATATGTAGAATTCCGACCGCTGCCTTGGCGTTGCAAACACTCGGTTGAGAAGGCGATCACTTCGCCTTTGAGAAAACTGCCAACGCAGTTAATCGTCAGTCATTGTCTCAATTGCCTTCTTGAAGGTCAATGATCCACGATTAGCATCACAGTATGTGTGTGCCCTCATTAGACAGGAATTTACGTCTACTTACGAAAGGGTAAAAGTACAGCACTGCAATATCTTGTTCAAGCCACTGCTGGCCAAGGGGCTTCCACTAAAGGGAGCTCTACAGATGCCCTCCAAGGGGTGTTTGATGTACTCATCCACACTGGCGAGACATCTTGGCAAAAGGTACAAGTGCCCACACTAAATCCCATTACATGGAACCTGCCAATAGACTGACAGCGATTAACCCATTTATTAAAAAAAAACTTAAAAAACTAAACAATTTTTTTTATATGTTACCAGAGGTAAGGTCCCACTGAGCGATATCGCTCTTTTTTTCAGAACCGACCTGGCCACAAACGATAGCTCAACGAAGTGGCTCATCACGTGAAAAGGCATAGCAGCCAAATACTCTAAACGCACGTTGAGGACCCAGAGAAAAGCCCACTCAACCACGGGCAGAGAGACATGTAAACTCCAAATATACAACAGGCATCAAGGGTCGGGATCGAACCCACAACCTCCTGCATACCAGGCGAGGTAGTTAACATCTCACCACCGTGTCGCTCCGCTGAGCAGAACAGATGTTGGAACAACAACAACAGCAAAGAAAACTTGCAAGACTGTTTTAACCGTCGTACTGGGAGATCGAAATCGATCCGGTGATCTCTGGATTGAAAGTCCAGCGTGTGAACCGTTAAACCAGGGCATCAGCAGCATGCAACATCCCTCTTCTGCTTACGCGACACTAAATTGCCGGGCCTTCTTGCACGAGCAGTGCTCACGGTGTGCAGCCGAACACTCATTTTTGAGGAGCATATTTTATTCAAGGGGAGATGTGCACTGTACGTGATTCATGGAGGTGTGCTCGATGAGCCGGGGTGCAGGCACATAGCGGCAGGTTCTTGGAAACCGCGCCGTGGAATCATTAACATTGACACGGGGGGGGGGGGGGTTGTAGCGTTATCATGGCCCTGAAGTGGAGATCGATGGGACCTTTGCTGACACTATGGCCAGAAAATGGCTTTGCGGAACAAGGATCAGCAATTTTTGTTTCCCTCCCCCACCGCCGGTACTATCCAAGCTTCGGTTGCTCACATCCCTGTGTCACAACATTTCTGGCCTTTAATGTCGCATTGCTGTCTGTACGTACGACGCTTCTGGTGAAACTTAAATACAAAATACAGACGCATGTCAGCGACATGGTCACATTACAAAAACCCGGAATGATAAAGAAATATCTGTAAGTGAAACAATCAAACTAGTGCCCTCTGAAAGGTCATCCATGTTGGTCACGGGGTTTGTTTCACCATACTGCAACGTACTGGTTGGAGGAGGTAAGCTGACCAGAATTGACTTAGATACGACTCGCCAACCGATGCCGGGAATCAAACTCGGGTAAACTCGGCTCCACAATTCTAGATTTGAAGCTTTCGTGACTGCAAGGATTCATATTCTTAGGTTTTTTCGGTAAAGTCACGTAGGTAAAACATTAAAATTAATAAAAGTTAAATAAAAAAAAATCACGACGTTTCGGAGGCAACAAAAGCTTCCGTCTTCAGGTGGAACCGTCACAGCCACGACAGCTGTATCAAGTAAATGAGAGATTTCAGGAGCTACCATTCCGTTTATATAATGGTTGGAGAGGGGGGGGGGGAAGCGGCAAGTACAGCACACTTTTTATTCATATGGTAAGGTGAGGCTTAAGAGGGTGAGCCTTTGTTATGGAGCGGTACGGTTTGTGACTCAACCTGTGACAAGGAGAAAACAACTGAACATGGTAAACCTGTAATAGTTGTCTGTCAAACAAGATTGGCCAAATAAGTGTAGCTCCACAACCCCGGCATCCCACCACGTTCCAGGAGAAGGCGACATTTAACAACGAAGCATCACCTCGGCGCTCTCGGCGAGTTCCGTAATGTAACTCGTGTAGAATTAGCTTCATAGGCGACATGGCAGCCGAGGCAGTCCACTCCAATTACAGGCTCCTCCGCGCGCAAGGTGTGTGTGCTAACTCTTCATTGTATTCATCGCATTACTGCCTGGATCAAGTTTGCTCGTGATAATCTCTCTAAAGTCATCTATATTGTTACCATCCTCCCTTACCCGATCACACATTTCACACCGGTAACTATGAACAATGGGCTCCGCAACAAATGTGAACCACCGAATACTGCATCCGTTTCTTTTGAAGAAGGAAAAAAAATGATTCTCATTAGAGAGTAAGAATGAGATTGTGCAAAAAAAATGTTAAGTCCGATCTTACTGTCGTCCTTCACATGTTCAACTCTTTCTTGTCCCTACATTTACAAGACACTGGTTCAGATCATTATCTCTCATTCAGGAGCCTTTACAAAAAAAAAATCATCACTACCGCAGTGAGGCCATCTGCATTAGATAAAGGCACAGACTTGCAATTGCTTGCTCATGCCACTGCTGGCGGAAGGAACTCCGCAAGAGGGTGCTCCAGGGAACCCCTTTGGAAGCGTCCTTTGGCCTACTCTTCCACGCTGGCCAAACGTCGTACAGTACCCACACGCGACCTACTGATAGACTGACTCATCTGCTTTATTCAGCTGCAGAATGCAGTTTTAATCCCATTCAAGGGCAGTCGCTGCGTGCATACAAAGCACAAAACCAGCCAATTTTGGAATCCCTCCGGTCATATCTGGGGAGGAGCACCCAGATCATGCTTTACTGCATCGGACGGAATTCCGAGCAGAGCAGTCGTTTTGACTGATGATTATCCAACACTCTAGATTTGAAGCTTTCGTGACTGCAAGGATTCGTATGTTTTGCCTCCGAAACGTCGTGATTTTTATTTTATTTTACTTTTATTAAATTTCGATTTAAAGCTTTCGTGACTGCAGGGATTCATCTTCTTGGTTCTTTCGGTAAAGTCACGTAGAAGGGAAGTAATAAAATAATAAAAATAAAACATATTTTATTTTATTATGTTTTATTTTTATTATTTTATTACTTCCCTTCTACGTGACTTTACCGAAAAAACCTAAGAATATCCAACACTCGCCGACTCACTCGCTCACCAAGCGGTTCGTCGCCTCCTTACCACTCTTCTATTGCTGCTACTACAACTACCACGGCGGTTACTGCGCACAATTGACTTCCACTCATTGATCGCTCTCTCCGTGTGTAAGACTACTCGGTCCAACAGCCCATTTCGTCTCGTCCACACCGCGCTCAACCACCGTACCGTACCGTACCCGCAGATTCACAAACACTTCACCAACATTAATTTTCCATCTACGTGACTTTACCGAAAGAACCAAAGAGTATGGATTCATGCAGTCACGAAAGCTTCAAATCAACACTTCAAAAACACTTCTCTTCCGCTTGCCTTGCACTCCTACACTTAATAATAACCCCCCGCTTAATTCAACGTGTACTCTTTAACGCCTGTCTATTTTTACACCTTTCAACAGTGCTGTCACGCTACTTGACTCTTGCCCGGTTTTTTTTGGTTCATTTGGGGGGGGGGTCTGTGCTCGTCAACCGCGGAGGAAAGAAAGACTTTTTTTTTAAATCCCACGATTTGCCAACTCCGTCGCAAAGCAAGGGCCGGGAAGCAATTCTCTGGGGTTGCATCGAGCCGGCGGACCCAGAACGAAGCGCTCGTTGCCGCTCGCTTTCTCCGGGTGAAATGTTGACAACGATAAGTGGTGACAACGCCGCCAACGACAAATTGTACATTAATATTGGCTGATGGCGGGGGAGGGGGGGGCAAACGGGATGGGATTTCAGTTTTGGTTGAGGGGAAGGGATGGTAAGGAAGCATTGATGGTAGGGAATGGGAGGGCTGGCGAGGTTAGGAAGGGAGAGGATGACCAAGGTGTTAAGAACGCGGACAGGAAGTAGTGGAGGGATACGCTATTGAAAAATGATGAAACTGCACAAGCAACAACGGGTCAGTGGGTACCTCGAGGCGACTCATTGGAATAATTATCTGTGCGCTTGCACCCATAAGCACACACACACACACCACACCGCACCTCCGATGAGAACGGTCGGCTACGTACGGTGCAAAAGAAGTTCAACTATACGTACGTGCATACATACACACGCTGGCTCTGCGAGCGTGACGCGGTGGAGGAGTGGTTACCTCGAGGTGGTGATAGACACACAGCTCAAATATTGCCACAAGGATCTGGGATGCAGGCGTGTGTTGACATATCAAGATTTAGAAATGTGGCTCGAGCATTAGAGAAGCACTTTAAAACCATTTAGCATGCCTTTAACCTTCAGGATATATCGAGAGGGTCGTAATAAAACATTAACGCAGTTTAACCCCTCACCCATACTAAATACGAAAAGGGATTTTTTTTTATTTTGTATTGATATTCATTCTGAAAAAAAATCAGGTGACGAGAGACAAATGACGTGTTGTTGTTTTTTTCAGTTTAAACAGGGAAGAAAACAAAACAAGGGGCACTTTATCCATTCCTGACAATCACCTTTGAAAAAACCCATCAACAAGCCAACAGTGAACGCTACTCACGTGCCAGAATTCGCGAACGACGCCGCGTATAAGAGAGACGGTTTCGGACGCAAACTTCGCTCGTCCCAACACACACGCGCGCGCGCGCGCAACCGTTGAACATCTAAAAACACACGCGCGCGTACCTACGTGAACCAATTTATCCCGAGGACGCGGTTGGAGAGAAGACGCCGGTCGCGAAGTCACAGAGAGCGAGCGCCGCCACCGGCGCGGATCAAACTCGGCGAGGAGGAGAGGAGCGCTCCGCTTGCTCCGCTTGCTCCGTGCCGTAGCAGCCGCAACTCGATCAGCAGCAGCAGCAGCAGCAGCCCCGCCGACGCACGACTGCTCCCTAGCAGATGAGGAGGAGAGTAGCACCGTGGCACGACAAACAGAGCGTAGGTAGAAAAAAAATTATAATGGGGGTTGGGGGGGTGGTGGAAGTAAGCCGCGGGGATGGGGGCGAACGCATGGGACGAGGGGGGTGAAGTCGGCGAGTGGGCTGGGCTGGGTCCTGTGACGGGCGGTGGAAGGGGAGGAGGAGGCGGTGGTGGTGGTGGAGAGGTGGTGGGGGTTTGAAGGTCCTGTTGAGCCGTGCGCTCTCAGCTTCCCGGTGATCGCTCGCTCGCTCGCACGCGGTCTCGCGTGCTTTTTTCCGGCTTCCAATGCCTCTCTGCTCGCCCGCCTGATTGTTTCTTTTTTGCTGCTGCTGCTGCTGCTTACTTGTTCATTCGGTCCAGCGCACATTTCTCTGCATAATTCGTTCGGCTGTCAGAAAAAGAAAAAAAAAACTGAAGAAAAAACTGCGCGCGACCACTGCCACGCGGAATAAAGATTGAGATCCAGATCACGGGTTACGGAGCCATAAAATTACATTTCGGATCGCTGGATACAAAAAATAACTGAAACGACTGCCCTGAAGTAGCGGAGGGCCTTCTGAAGCTGCCCAAATGTTACCGCGCTGTCAATCCGATGTGAAACATCATCGGTGAGCTGTCAACTTGGGATGAGAACAACAATGCATTTTAATGTAAGCCACAAACAATGACCCTTGCTGCGATATCAAGCAATCCAGCCAGATGGCACTGCGACAGAGCATTCGTCTCACATTCAAAAGGTTAAATGAGAGATTTTTTAAAAATGTGCAGCCCTGCAATTTCTTGCTCACATCACTGCTAGGCGGAAGGAGCCTCCACGTGAGAGCTCTGGAGTGCCCCTCGAGATGGTAATTCGGGCTATTTTTCCACACTGGCCATAGATCTTGCAAGAGGTGGGAGTGCCCATACTTTACCCCACCACACGTGACCTACCGATTCGACGAACTGGCAGGTGAAGAGAGGTTAGGCGGGGGGGTTAAAGAAACGTCCCCTGCTGTTTCAACTGCTGCGCTGGCAGATTATACAACTGATCAAACCCTGGACGGGGCTTGGCTCGTATCATGTAGCGAGTACCACACTGCGGGAGGCCAACATCGGTTGTTCCGTACGGACTGGGCCCCGGCTAAAGGTTCATGGAATTTCCACCAATGTCTAAGGGCCACTGAAGGAGACAATTGAAGCGCAGAGGAAATGGCATTAAGATTTGACCATCGCGGGTGTGAAAATATTGTAGAAGCGTAAAAAGCGCGTGACCAAATGAGGACTATTACGGGAGATTTGTTTTTATTCACGGTGAGCGACATGCGTTAATATAATTGGGACCAATTTGTGGGCCCTGATGTGGAATTCGAAACTGCGAGGACAGCCCTGAGCCAATGAAAAGCAATTTAAATAAAGCGGGGGGGGGGGGGGGACATGGAATTGTTCGCACTTCACATTTCAGTAAAATGTAATAAACTAGAAGACGCACGCTTATTTAGTTGCTTATTTGGCATTCAACGTCTGTGCAGGATCTCTGCCCCCCCCCCCCCCCCTCAATGCTCTCTCTCCCACCCTCCTCCCACCATCTTCCTCCTCTCCCTCCACCCCTCGCGCCATCACCTCCGCGCACCTCCCCCCACGCGGATGAGCGAAGGCGGCCGCGGTGTCTGGGCTTTGAGGTGCCGCCTCGCCTCAACGCCCCCCTCTCCTGACTCGCCCGGCCGCTGACCTCTCTCGCCGATCGCCCACCGGGGGAGGAAGAGGAGGAGGGGGGGTTATGATCGTGGCGGCGGCGCGCGTCTACAACAACGCCGCTCTCGGCTCTTGTGCACGATGGAAACTATCCCCCGAACCAAACCGACGGCCACCACCAATCAGCTCCAAACCCGCTCGCCGCTTCTGCCCGCGCCCATCTCTCGCCCATCTCTCACAATCTTAAACAACCCCCGGAGAGGGTGGGTGGGTGGGCGGTGGGTTTTGCATTCGTTTGAAAAGCACCCCCAAATGACCCACGTTTTTTTTCGATGACCTTTCCACAAAAAAGCCAAAAAAAATGCGCCTACGCTTCGCAGACGGGGGCATGTGAGGCGTCACTCCCATCGTGCCTTGCATGCGTGACACGTGATGGCCACGTGGCATGGTGCGGTGCTCCCTCAGCCTTGTCTAAGCCACTAGCTCCAAAGAGCTGAACGCGCGGCCGTGTTTCTGCCGCCACCCCTCAATGTGCGCAGGAGCAATGATGCGGCGCTTAATGTATCCAACATTCGTCGAACTTCTTTCACACCGTGCGTAGCCAACCGTGCCAATCCGGAGGCGCTTCAGCCGAAATATCCTACCAAGCGGGAAAAATATGGCAGCATCCTCCCGGTGCTCTCCTATTGGAGATATTGCTGCCAGGGTGGCAACAGCGATAGAACTGGGTGCTTCAAAAAAATGTGAACACTTCGGAGAATTTGCAACAAGACCACGAGGAATGTGCCTCCGCGCTCTGGAGACCACCACAATGATGGCGAACAAGTGGAGACTCTTTGACTTTTAGATGCTATTAACAAAAAATTGTTATCATGTTACACTGTATTATCGAGTATAGTAATAGGTTTTTACCCTTTCAACTGGTACAAAAACTGACACCTTTATACAAGGCATCATGTTTGCAATAACCACAACACACAAGCAGTCAAAATGCAAACAAAAAGAAACAACTCTGATGATGATAATGATATGCACTGTCCTTGAAGTTGATTGGTCCACACCCGAGACAGCTTTTCTTAGAGCCTAGTCTCCATTGGTGTTGGACCAGATGACGCCAAAAGGCGTACAACTCAAAAACAGCACACTATCAGAGTATTGAGAGCTCGGGGTAAGCATTTACACTATGAGACCTCCTTTACCAGTTGCAAAATATAGTAATAGGTTTTTACCCTTTCAACTGGTACAGAGTTGTTTCTTTTTGTTTGCATTTTGACTGCTTGTGTTGTGGTCATTGCAAACATGATGCCTTGCATAAGGGTCTCAGTTGTTGTACCAGTTGAAAGGGTTAAAACCTATTACTATATTTTGCCACTGGTAAAGGAGGTCTCATATTGTAAGTGTATTATCCGTTCTTTTTTCCATTAAAAACGAAAGTACCATGTGAGTGTTAACATTTTTTTGAAGCGCCCTGCATAAGCATCGGCGCCGTCTAATGCTCCGCCTCACAGCATCACCGAGTTGGAAATGCAATCGATGGTTACAGGATTGTGCACGGTAAATAAAAAAAAATGCGTTAACATTGGTTGCATGCTCCTAACGGTCGTGGATGGAGGTTACGTGAGGCGCATGCCTAACGTTACTTTTGTTAAGAAGTAACTCCTTCCCGTTCGGGTAATATAAATGACCAACTCTGACCAACAATTGTATGGAACGATAATTAGTTTCGACATTGATTGGAGCAGAGGTACACGCCGGATGGGATGTTTAACTGGAACAAAAGGCGAATCGACGTACAAAAAAAAGGTCACGCTGAGCAATGCAATCCCAATATGCGATCTCGCCTGCTCGTTTATTTACACAAACGAATCACGGTAGGGCGGATGTATCTTGCAAAGTGCGGTGTGAACGACCACGATGTTTTTGTGCGGTCGTGCTTCGACAAAAGACGTGGCCTTACGTGCTTCTGTTATTTGCAATTTTAATCCAAGTGTGTCTTTTTTGACAAGACGAAGGGTTAAGTCTCGTGTTCGAGAATGACCCGCAGAAGCTGACATCGCAGAGCCGCTTGCGAGATTCCGTACCCTTCTTGGTTCTTTCGGTAAAGTCACGTAGAAGGGAAATAATAAAATAATAAAAATAAAACATAATAAAATAATTCTCACAACGTTTCGGCCACAACGCAAGCAGCCGTCTTCGGGTGGAGAACAAGTTGCTTGCGTTGTGGCCGAAACGTCGTGAGAATTATTTTATTATGTTTTATTTTTTATTATTTTTTTATTTTCCTTCTACGTGACTTTACCGAAAGAACCAAGAAGATGAATCCCTACAGTCACGAAAGCTTTAAATCGAAATTCCTTCCCCTGTAAGGCCCCTGAGCCCCAGCATCAGGCGGAGCGCTTTCCACGCAAATTTTCGGCCGCAAAGAAAAACGTCCGTCACGTGACAGGCAAACGATCGGTGTCAATGCAATTCCGAGAGCAAGAATGCAAATTTGACCAAATTGTTCCAAAACCAGGGGCAATCAACTCGCAAAACGTGAGATCCTAGTTTAGCCCCCTTAATAATGAACAGATGTAATAATGCCACGCACCTGAAACACGGATTCGAACCCAGGGTCTCAGCGCAACCGGCCTCCGCACTCAGACATCCACGAGCCATTGGGTCACCTCTTGAACCTGCCAGAATTTGATGCAGTGAGAGCAGCGCGCATTATTTGTTTATAAATGACCCCGAAAGATGCACGTGACACGCGCGATGCATGGACAAGTCCGAAAACGACCGTGCGACTGAATTGCAAGTGTCGGTGGAGAACCGCCCTTCATGTTATGACTCATGAACGGCCGTGCTGCGTGTATACGTCTGAGTAGACACCGCTGGCTAAAGGTCACTGGGTTTGTGGTGAATGCTGTCACTAATGTTTGGGTGCCTGTCTCCTACCACATCTATTCTCTGGGCCCCGGGAGATTATGTTACCTGGGGCGGGCTTTTATCACAATGCAACAGGAAAAATAAGAAAAACCACGCACAAAGCAAAATACTATTTGTGCAATTCACATCCGAGAATAACACCGCACGCACACGCGTATACTCACGCACTGGCGATACACACATTCATATACATTAATGCACACAAAGATAATCCCCGTATAGCCTTTACAGACTGTTGGGCAAGTGCTGTTAGCGAGCACCTATAAAGGCCGATACGGAACACGAGGGGGTTGGGTGGCCAGCACCACGCCCACCCGCCTTCGTCTCCAAAGTGGAAATATTTACAAACCACACCAGGTATTCATTTGAGGCTG